AATCTATTAAATACACATTATTATTATCCCTTGTTACAGATAAAGAAACTGAGGCAAAAGTTAAACATCTTGTTCAAGGACAGTCATATAGCCAACAGGTGGCTGAGCTGAGACCCAAACCCAGGCCACTCAACTTGAGTCTGTGCCTGTAAGCTCCGTACAGCCTGTCAGCATCTTCTAATCTCAGTTATATCATCAGTGAAACAAGATTTATTTTAAAAACTAAACAGAACACTATGTATAAAGCACTTGGAAAACAAAGATAAATTACATCTATTGTTACACATGTACAATCATTTATTCTATTTTAACCTCAGAAGAACATTATGGTGGAGGTATAATTATCCCATTCTATATAGGCAGAGACAGCCTCTGAGGTTGAGCAATCAGGCTACAGTCATCCAGTAGTAGGTGGTAGAACAACTATTCAAACCCAGGGCAGTCTCACTCCAGAGCCCATGCTCTTCTACTCCTTCATCTTAAGGTCTGTACCTTAGGCTCAACACAGAGGGCTGCAGGACATCTACAGGGAGGTCTGAGATTTAGCAGTTGCCACAAAAGCTGCAAACACCCCAGCATCACCTAGAGGTGCTTCATCACTGATTAACACCCACCAGGCCAACCACTGGTCCCAAGGCAAAGCTCAGAACTTTCACTCAAACACACCAAGAGCATCAGAATCCTTAAAGGATAACTATTTGACACTAAACCCATAACTATTTGAAACTAAAAGCTGCTCTCCAATGCTCCCTGATGAATCCCTCAAAATAGCACAGTTCACCAAGGTCCTATATGCACACAGGACCACAGTGAACAGACTCTAACCTAGGATCACATACCTGATTTCCATCCCAGGAGTAGACCCGTGGTGAATCGTTTCCTCTCTTGGTACCTCACTTTTTTGATTTGTGAAATAGGGATCTAAATGTATTACCTTTCTCCTGAGGGGTTCTGAGAGGACCAAGGGTAAGATAATTGCTGTGGTGGCACTTTGGAAGCAGTATGAAATGCTGTAGATAACACTTTCTGTCAAAATGACCTATTCCAAGTAGGTATGGTAACACTATCTTTATTTTTATTTACTTTTATTTAAA